AAGTCCGTGACCAAAATCATCAGTACCCCATAGCAACTACCTGCTTCACAAACAACTGTGAATACAGTGTCCTACCTTTTTTTTTCTCCCTGTTCCCAAATATCAGTGGCAAACGCAAAAAGGTAGTAGGGCTAGCATCCTGGCAGAGCAGCCAGTACGACACTGTCAAATGTGCTCCTGCCAACCAAGAACTTGATTGGTATCCTTAACCAGGAAGCATCAAAGGGTACCAAAACATGGAGTTTAAAACTGAACTGCTAAGTCAAATTACTAAAAATAACATCCCAAACCGTGGTTTAGGTTGCAAAGGGATCACCTCTATCCTAAGATAAGAGAGTAATGAGGTACTGTAACCTGTCACCTGAGTATTCCCCAATAAGGGCCCAAGATCTGTAAGCAATTTTTTTCATTTACATATGCTTTTGTTGTTTTTACACTTCATACAGCTCTTGGGTTTATCACTTCAATAAGACCTGTTCACTCATGTGTGCTGAGAATGTCTTAATGCTCTGTGAATCACAGATAACACACAGCTCTACACTTTATTTGGAGTAAAAAGAGGGAAATTGCTTGAACAGAATGTAAAAAAAATATTAGCAAGAAGCTGGCTTGTTTTAAGTACAGACATTTATCAGTTATTAGTCATTAGTCGAAACTGATAATGATGGGCAGTCAAGCATAGTGCTTCTCATCTTTGTTTTCAATGATGATGAAGTGCTGCCTGCTGCCAAACAGTGCCTCAAAATGGAGAAAGGTACTTAAATTTGCTTCAGATGAGCAACTGGGTGCATGCCAATTTTTCACATGAACAGTCATAAGCATGTTCCTGCACAGCAGGATGTGATCAAACTATTCAAAGCTGTAAAACCAGGTTTGCTTGCCAGTTATGTTATTGCTTCAAGATCAGTGTATTACAGATGATACTTTGCCAGCTATGAAACCATGGTGTTTCCTTAACAACAAATTCTACACCTTTAATATTTAAAACTCTGTATAGAACTGACTGTTCCTAATTAAAAAAAAAAAACAACAAACAACCCAAACATGTACAGAATATAAGTTAGGACTAAAAACATATCAAACACTCCTGAACTATAAGTCATCTCTTATTTAGCTTTAAAAAAAAAAAAATCACTTCCTTCAAGCTGTACCAATTAAAAGGTCCCCTTTCTTTTCTAAACCAGTAGAAAAGTAATTGTAATGACTTACTCAAGTCCTCACCTTCAGCTGCCAACCTTGTAATCATATTAACATTCCTGTCCATAAGGTGTGATGCGTTAATAGGTGGATGCTATTTTGAGACATTGCGCTGTATTGCCTCCTGCTGGAAACCACTTCTTTGAAGTATTTTATGAAGACCACACAATGTTACTATGCCATATGTAATCTTTACTAAATGACTGTCACTAATTGGATTACTCAAGCAAGACAGATTTTTGAAGAAAGGCAGAACTGTAGTACAACCAACTGGACAAATAAGTTTTTTTCCTTGAATGGGTTAAGACAAAACCAAACATTACAGACAAGAAACTGATGTTTTATTTCTCTTGATAGTCAGCATCTTTTTCCATTTTCCTTTCAGATGATCAGTGATAAAACAGACTCAAGCTCCCCAGTATAACACAATATCTGCTCACTAACAAACATATCTTGGCAAATACGACCAAACAGTTGAGTTTGTTTTTTTAAGGGGGTATTGGTGCAGGAGAAGATGGATGTCAATGTTTAGCCACGCTTTGGTTGTTTGTTTTTTATTCACTTGAAAATACATACTAAAAGTAGTATCAAATATTTGAGTTTATACCATTTTATTTGTTTTCACACATACAAAAAGTAGTTTGCATATTTGCTCAGCAATTTAGTGAATGATGTAAGATTATATACACATGCACAGCTCAATACAGTGAGAGAAGTGCCTCGATCTGCTTCCTAGTAAGAAGAAACATTCATGGTTGAAATCTCAAAAAAATATGTAGAGGTCCTTGGGTGTTACAGCTCAAAAAAACATTTTCGTGACCTTTCTAAGACACGGACAGTGCTCTTCATTTTTTGAAGAACAAACAAATTATTAAGTAAAATTCAAATAGAAGAATCACAGCTAGATAACCACTGTCAAGTGTGTTGCAATAGCAGTCCAGTTAAATACAATGTAATAGTATAACTACCAGGAAAAGTATTGCAAAACTATTTCAAAGGCTAGCTGAAAGTAATCTGTATTTACTTGGTCATAGGAAACACACATTTTATAGTATGCCCATTCTCTAGGAACGCAACCTATTCCTTACTTGAAATCAAAGCAATGTGTTTGAGCTGTGAAGGCTTTTGTGCTAATGAAAAATCAGAAATCCTACAAGTAAAACCCCAAAAGCTAGATACTACTTATATTCACTGTGCTCAATTGTCAAATGCCGGGCTATTGTGAAGAAAACCATAAAGAAGGATAACAGATGCAGCTTCCTTAAACACAGTCAGTCCAAACCCTTATTATCACATGGGCAGTTCTCTGTCATATGGAACCACTTGTGGTCACTCAAGTGACATTGCTGTCTCCAGCACCGCACAACAGCAAGCAGGAACAGGGCAACACGGTGTTCACACAATGTGTCATGAAGCATTTAGCTTCCATTGCCCAGTGACCTCTGACCTTTAAAAATGCCTTTTCCAGAGAGATAGACACAGCATGCTAATGGTTTACTCTATTTTTGCTTTGTCTCAGCCTGTTTTCATCAATCCCCTCCTCATATTTGATGTCACCTCCACCAAAAAGAGAAAGATTTTAACTTGCAGATGTTATGAATGCCTGAGGTGACCTCAGATCTAACTTGGAATAATTTGCATTTGTTATGCTAAGCATATACATCCCCTGAATTATATCTAGTCCCTTTGTGGTCTAATGTAGGAATCCCTCTCCTATTGTTCTTGCTGTTAGCACTGTAATAACTACTGCTATTGCAATGTTAACAAAAGACTACTAATAATTCAAGTACGGTATGAATTCCCAAGGAATCATCAAGTGAGAAACACAGGCTGAAATGGTAGCTTCAATTCCAAGGACTGATTTTCTAGATTCAAGAGTTACAGCTGTAAAAGTATCACATATATGAAAACACAACACATGATCAGTAGAGTTCTATTAATAATAATTAATTTAAACCAACGGTATTTTAAATTGCAAATGGTATCACAGTAGTACTGCTTAATATCAAATATTTAAATTTTTATCCGTTGGAAGATTTTATCAATCTATTAATTATTTAGTAATTATTAATTAATAGTAATATTAATGATTAACGATATAAATTAATTAATATTTTATTTATTTTATTTTTTCAGCTTCACTATCTACTTAACATTACCTGTGCTTTTTGCTGATAGGCCTAAACATGTCTTTGCTAGTTGTGGCACTTGAGCCACTACTATATAAAATACTTATCTTTATTAATTTCCAAGCTGATTGCTTTGAAAAGATTACTCTTTAAACAGGCAGCTTAAAAATCAATTAAATTAAAATGTATATCAAAATCCCTGCAACGACATCCTTCTGACATTCTACAAGTTTTAAGGTCCAAGTATGCCTGAAAGTCCAATTTGCCAAAGAAGCAAAAACTGACAAAACAAAATTAAAAATATCAAAAGATCCTTCTCTTTTATTATAAGCTTCTCTTTTTATTATAAGCTGCTCACTTTCCAAATGCCCTGTGCAAAGAAGAAAGAACATAAACTTTTGGCAGAACTTTTGGATGTTTCCTACTAGCTATGCTGCTCATCATTATTATAAAAGCAAAAGAAAGTAGACTGAACTAAAGTTCCACCATTAGTATCTTCCAACATTAACATCCTTTGCAGTGCATACTGGATAGACACACAAAATATTTAAAGCACCAGGCAGACAGAGCTTTCAAGATTAAAGTAGGAGAGAATGCAAAACCAATGACTGCAAAAAAGTGAAAATTACTGGGTGTGTAGAAAGGATTGTTTTCCTAGGAGACTTCTCAATACAACATAAATTCAATCACCATTATCATTATCACTCAAGATCACAAACTTGACTTCAAATTTAATATAAGTTAGTTAGATGTGGGCTAACTTTGGTAACTCACATTAAAAATCTAAATTTTCAATATTGGAAGAGTCAGATGAAATTTTTTGCCTGGGATGAATACATAAGGAGTTTCATCCAGTCTAAAATCTTGTGTTTTCCCAGGAGATATATCCCCTACTTGGACTGCTTCTCCCTACAGCCTGTTCCTATTGAGCTAAATCTAGGTTAAAATCCAGGAGAGAGAACTGCGGGGAAACAAAAAGCACCACACAACAGGAAAACTCTTCATCAGAAGGAAAAAGCAAGGAGACTATCTTCATGGTGAAGAGAATGAAGATAATATTGTTTTGTGAAATAGGAAATTGCAGGGAATGAGTGATCTGAGCAGAAAAAGGACCTCAGGTTCTTTCAAGTCATGTAACAGAAGCATAAGACTTTGAGAGTCAAGGACCACATGCTGATTTTTATCTCCTGAATGTAAAGCAACGAAGGGAGGAATTGCTTGCATTGTTGCTTGTGGTACCATTATCTTCCTTTAATGTATATTTCTGCCACTTATAACCCTTTACAAATCCTTTAGTCTCAGCTAACTGTCATCCAAAGCACTATACTAATACAGCATACTGCAAAACTAAGCTCTTAGTAGCTTTTTAGATTGGTCAATACACTGAAAACTATTTTGTTTTATAAACAGGAGACAGGTAGTGATCAGGTGCAAAAAAATACCAAAATAACTTTTCTCATGGAACACATTGATGCCATTTCAATGAGCACTACTACCATGAAGAAACAGTTGATCATTAATCAGCCATTTACCACAAGGGCACTCTCTGAGATTTTCAACAGAGAAAAGTAAATGAAATAATTTTCTTCCCCTAAGTAAAAATAAAAATAAAAAAAAAGAATAAAGAAGAAAAGAAATTTGGTTTTGAGTGATTATATACTTGTAGAGACTTACTTGAGACAAAGCAGCATCCCGTTGTTCTATTACCGCATTCATTTCCTCAGCTATTATTTTCTTTTTACGTTCTTTGGTCCTGTGTATTCGATTCAGAATTATAGCTCCGTTCTTCAGTATATCTGTCCCTGTGTCTGCATTGTTTATTCTGTTCAGTAATTCCTGTAATGTCTACCAACAGCATTATATGTTAGTCAGACATGAAGTTTTAATATATTTTATTTAATATAGGGTTTTAATTAATAGGCACATGTGAATTGTAAATTGACTGAGTGAAGTTATTGAATTTTCATATTGCAGCAAAGATGTACATTATTAGTGTGTCAATTCTTCTTTTTCCCACATCTTAGTTCTTGAAACCCACTCAATTGAACTTAAGCCTCTAAGATATAAGACTGACATCAAGAAATCTCCTCAGAGAATGGCTTACCATGTCATTTTCTTCAGGGTTAATATTTTCTAGCCTAGAAAAAAGGGACACAGAAAGCCTGATCAGTAGCATTTCCTTAGTGCAGCAAAATGAGTTCGCTTTTTAAATCTTTAGAACCTCAAGTAATTTCATTCTACTAGTCTTTAGAGTCAACCATGACACTGAACATATTAAAGTGCCACCTGCTCGACTCCATCTTTCAATAATGCTCCATATCTTCAGCACTGACTTCAGACTGTTAAGTTATTAATGTTTACTGCTATATATGACTACAAGGATCAATTGTTCATATGTGCTTAGATGAAGAAAGTTCCCCAGTGATAGAAATGACTGATGCTCTTATTTTATTTATTTCTGTGCTTACAACTTATACCTGACGCTGTATTTTTGTTGTTTTTACTGCATCCCAAATGAAACAGGACAGGACTTTTGTGAAGATTTTTTTTTTTCATTTTAAAGTAATTCTTTTTCCACCTCTCTTCTAAAATGAGGAAAAAAAAAACTAGTCGAAGTTTCCTTATAAATATTTTGATTTTATATCTTGCATAAAATAGCAAGCTAAGCCAATTCTCAGCGAGGCCCTTATTTAATTCTAGAACAATGCCCCCTGCACCTTCCTCCCTTTCTATTTCAACAGAACATATATTGACCTGTCAAATACAAAGATGATACGAGGAATTTAGTCATACAGCTGTGCAAAAGCAGTAAGTGATAGCACAAAAATCTAATAAATGGAATAGTATGCATTTTATTTTACCTAAGGTTAGTTATATGGACAGCATATTATTTAAAACACTTATGTGTATTTTAAAACAGAAGAGATGACTTTTCTGGAAAAAGGAGCATGTTAAAGTTACCTTACCACTCCACTGCTACTTACTTAACGGTGATTTCTACTAAAAGTAGGTCTGCCACTAGCATATGATGTTTTAAAAGACAGATATAGTACCATTAAACATCTACTAAACAGCAATACACACTTTTTCAGCAGTGCTGTGACAGGTGCTGCTCTGAAGCCAAGATTTTAGCTAGCAAACATCATAGAGCACTTGACAGCACACTAGCACTTTTTACATTAAAGCATTAGTTTTACCAGATAGCTAAATAAGGCATAGTAAATCAATCAATAAAAAAATTAATTCTTTAAATAAAGAAGAAATAATTCAAAATTTACTACTAGTGTACAACAGCTAGAATATTTATACGGAATTCACAAGCAGTTAACTACTCCAACATATACAGTCAGCACCAGAACTAAACAAAACAAAGTAATAGCTAACCTTTGCTGGGTTTGAATTGTATTCATAAAGTGACACAAATCATAAAATAACAAACATATTGTAAGTCCAAATTGTCAGAACTGGCTCCTTGTAGAGTTCCTGCTTTAGGTTTTTACATTGCTCCAAGTGCCACTTCATTTGGGACTTAAAAATGGAGCTCTGGCTAGTTTGTATTCACAATGAAAAGAACGGTATTTGTCAAAGAAAATTGGCAAGACCGACGGGCTTCTCCAGAGGACTTCTACCCTGCTAAAAGTGTGGGTCAACAAAGTCACCCAGCTGACCAAGAGGCTGGGTAAGCAAGTCACCTTAGGGAGAAATGGATGTGGGAAAAAGAAAAGGAACTTCAACCGTAAGTGTAGCCCTTCAGCATACTACTGCCACAAGGGATGTGTCTGCAGGTGTACATACACCTCCTTAGGTGACAGTATGTTTTAAAAAGCAGCATCCAGAACTGTGTATTTGCCCTGCTGCCTCTCCCTGTGCTGCGCACAGGCAATAAGATACCCTTAGATCTCTCATGATTTTAAACAGCAGTAACCAAGGATTCCTCTTCCCCCCATTTCTGCACACATTCTGCTAACGTAACCCCTAGGGCCAACAAGACTGAAAGAATTTTGGTTGTTATAGTTAAATAATGACAACAGAATTGCTCCAGCTGCTAATTTAAAAAAAGCATTAAAGTGTTTGATAAAGGTTGGCAGGCTGTTCAATATTGCCCTCTTGTAAAGATCTCTGATTGGAATAAGTCCAAAGCAGATGGAAGGAGTGACCTGTGCTCTGAAACTTGATGAGTGTGGCACAAGTAGCCAATGTTCTTTAAAAAAACCCCAAAACTTTGTGCTGCACGTCTGAGACAGAGAACTTGACCTTCTGAACAACCATCATCAGGAAGAAACTATAAAGGGTGGTAGTTGGAAAAGTTCCAAGATTTCAGAAGAAACTCCAAAATGAAATAAAATAAACCAAGTCCCTCATGGCTCATCCCATCACCTTTGCTTCTTCCAAAGGCTTAGTGGAGTGATGAGGTGAACTCAAAAAAAAAAATTCCATCCAGCCACAGTAATAAACTACTTAGAATAAAGAGGATGAGAAAAGTAATTTCCTCATGAAGTTGACTCTGCTTCTGAGAATGCAGCACCTCAATTTGACTCTTCTCAGTCACGGTCCTGGCTTGCTCCTCCCATGCCAGACATTCAGGCAGATACAGAAATGTGTGTCTTGTCACGTCAGCTGAGATGTTACCACAGTTAGCAAGGACATCTGATGTTCCGAAAAGCCTAAGTGCAGGACTCAGACTGGTGTTTCA